CCCTCCGCTCCTAGCCTGCACCCCCCCAGGACCACCACCAGTCCCCCCGCCTTCTCCCCCTCCTCCAAGTCCCCCCCCTCCCCCTGCGCCTGGCCCTGCCCCCCCTGCTCCCCCCGCAGCAGCAGCCGCAAGAGAAGGGGAGGGGAGGCGCATGCGGGGGTGGTGGAACTTGCACTCTGCTCCAAACTTGCACTGGCCTGTTTTCATGTAGAACTGGTGAAGGGAGGGGAGGGGGACGGGGACGGAGAGGAAAGAAACAAAGCAGCCAAGGGTTTTACCAGATTAGGTCGAACGCTAGGTGATTTGGAGAAAAAACGAATTCGCAACGAATCAGGAAAAGGGATCTACAACAAGCTGAAGTGTGTGTGTGCGTGCGTGCGTGCGTGCGTGCGTGCGTGCGTGTGCGTGTGCGTGTGCGTGTGTGTGTGTGTGTGCGCGTGCGCGCGCGCGCGCGCATGTGTGTGTGCGCGCGTGCGTGCGTGCGTGCGTGCGTGTGTGTGTGTGTGTGTGTGTGTGTGTGTGTGTGTGTGTTTCTTTCACTTGGGTTGCTTCTGAGAATTCCTGCACACTAACGACTGCCCTATGATGGTGAAGCCTCAAGAGCAAGAGTCTGAAGGAGCCTCATTGTGCACTCGGGATGTCAAGCTCAGCTAGGCAAAGAGGTGATTCGTGTTTTCAGGCGACGAAAGAAAAAGACTATCTCGGAAGAAAGTGCTTCTGTTCTGTTCTGTTCTGTTCTGTTCTGTTCTGTTCTGTTCGGTTCGGTTCTGTTCTGTTCTGTTCTGTTCTGTTCTGTTCTGTTCTGTTCTGAGAAAACGTTATTTCTTTAGAAACTTCAACGACGAGTATTCCTGGATGTTTTTGAGATGTTGAAAGGTTGCAGAGACGAATTCCCTGGGCTGGAGGAGCGTGTGATGTGAGCCGTGTGTCTTATCTGAAGTGCCTCACAACTCACCGCACATTCCGGCTGACCGGGCCGTTCAGGGAAGGGGTGTGGCGAGAAGGGGTGCATGCGGGGACCTGCCGGTAGCAGCCACGCGTCTGTTAGATCCTGCTGCTGCTTGGATTAGGAAGGGGGGATGGCAGGACGAAGGGGGGAAGGTAGGGCGGGAAGAATGGCGGCAGAAACGGCGGGGGGAGGAAGGGGAGATGGGTTGTGCTGCATTATTTCTAGCCTGATTGTCAAGGCGCAATCTTCTCTCCCTCCCTCCCTCCCTCCCTCTCTTCCCTCCTCCTCCCTCCCTTTATCCGCATCGAGAAAGGAAGCCATCCTCTCTCTCCCTTTACCCATACCCATGCGCACGCACGCACGCACCTCAGGATGACAGTCAGCTCGGTGCAAAGAGGTAAAGCCTGGTAATGGTGGGTGAGAGGCAGGTTAAACAGGGGCAGGATAAAGGGGGCGGAGCGCGTGAAAGGTGTGGCATCGAGAGGTGAGAGTTCCTTGTGTTGTGCTAAGAAAGATGGGCCAAGAGAAGAGACGAATGTAAAAGGCTTGGTGGAAGCAAACGAGTGTGTGGAGGGTTGGTGCAAGCGAAAGAGTGTGTGGAGGGTAAGGATATCAAACATTGCAGAGACATTATGCCTGGTGATGACAGTCGCATGGCATGGCACGGCACGGCACGGCATGGCATGGCATGGCATGGCATGGCATGGTATGGTATGGCACGGCATGGCATGGTATGGCAAGGCATGGCATGGCATGGCACATGTGAAACGCACGCGGCGGGCCAATGTGGGGGGCCATGTGCGGCAGCTCTGGATGATTGAACTTGCATGTGCTGCCAAACTTGCAGCTGCGTTGATGCGCGCAGGGAGGGGAGGGGAGGGGAGGAGAGGGGAGTGGAAAACATGGGAGAGAGCCATGACACTCTGCCAAGGGTGGTGGCGTTTTGAGACCGAGGAACGTACGCACCACGGCAAGTACCAAGTTCACATGCTGAGACATGGTGATGAGGCAAGAGCTCTTGGGACCAAATGGAATACATGTGTCCTGACATGTGCGATAAGTGTTGACCAATTTTGATGCTTAACACGAGGGCACACATGTGGCAGTCCAAGGTACTTCATAACAAAAGTGTTGGCCCGTAAAAGTTTGCGAATTCGCGCAAGCACTTGTCTTCCGCACTGCAGAAACCATTTGCGAGGGTCCCGTTTATTTTGTGTGACAAATGTAGACTGTCGCTTTAAAGCATACCAACTACATTGAGTCACGCCAACAACGTACCTGCCGCATTTCATGTAAAAGGCACAATCAACGTCGTCCTGTTGGGTAGGGCAGGGCAGGGCAGGGCAGGCAGGCACGCACGGCAGCCAGGTAGCATCCATGCAATGAATGAATGAATGAAGGACAACGGGCGGATGGATGGAGGAATTATGAGATGGTTGGGTTGCAGGTGGGAGGAGAATAGGGATCATGGAGTGACAGAGATGGTGGGGGCAGGGCCATACGGAATGGCTCGAGGGATGGATGGAGGGGGGAGAGAACGGCATGGGGGTACGAGAGAGGTTGGGAAAGGGAGCGAACTTAGCTTTCAAAACACACACATGCCAGCGCAAACGCGCCAGCGCACGCATGCCAGCGCACGCATGCCAGCGCACGCATGCCAGCACACACAGGCCTCGAAGAGGAGCACTTACAGGTCGCAGTGGGAACCCCCGGGAGTTTAGCAACACATGGCCATGATACAGCATGCTCCCCATTGCACTCCGACCACCACCCGCTCCTCCTACTCCTCCACCTACTCCCCCTCCCCCAACCCCTCCCCCTCTACCTTCCTCCCCTCCTCCCCCTCCTCCCCCCCTACCTACCACACCATTCGCACCCCCCGCCAATGCCGTTACTCTCCAGCCCACGACCACCGACCACTCTTCCTCCTCGTCCTTCCCCTCCTGCTAGCATTACCCGAACACGCTCCCCCAACAGAGAATCACCCACTACAGCGCAACCAAGGGGCGGTGGAGACGGGTATTAGACCTCTGATTGCCGCTCATGGTAACAATATGGTTATTGTTACCACTGCCACTCATACTCCCCCCGTAGTCCCTGCCTAGATGCATGACACGTGTACGGTTGTGATTGCTGTCGTCGTTGGCAGCAGAGAGTGCAGCACAGGCGACGGAAGCAGAGACGGCGGCAGCAGAGGCAAGGTCAACAGCAGAGGGGGACCGGCCCCACCCAGGGGAGGTAGAATCTGGGGAAAACTGGAACTGATGATGCGGTTCCCTTCGTTGCCCCTGATGGTGCTGCTGCTGTTGTTGCTGCTGTTGCTGCTGCTGTTGCTGCTGCTGCTGTTGCTGTTGCTGTTGCTGTTGCTGTTGCTGCTGGTGTTGCTGCTGCTGGTACTGACACAGCTGCTGCTGCAGCAGCTGCTGCCCCTGCAGCAGCAGCTGCTGATACTGATACTGCTGCGGCGGTGAGTGTTGTTCAAGAGAGCTAGCATGTGCAAATGGCGCCGCCTGCGCCACTTGCCTCAACAAGGACGTTACAGTGGTTGCATCAGGAGGCGGAGACCGCGAGACAAATGACATCAGAGCATCCTTACGCTGGTTACCACCTCCTCCTCCTCCTCCTCCTCCTCCTCCTCCTCCTCCTCCTCCTCCTCCTCCTCCTCCTCCTCCTCCTCCTCCTCCTCCTCCACCTCCTCCTCCTCCACCTCCTCCACCTCCTCCTCCTCCTCCTCCTCCTCCTCCTCCTCCTCCTCCTCCTCCTCCTCCTCCTCCTCCTCCTCCTCCTCCTCCTCCTCCTCCTCCTCCTCCTCCCAAGATTGCCACATCAGCAGAGAAACATTCCCCAGTGCCTCTGTTGCTCTCATCGCCTCTAGGGATCCTTATACCGGACGAGCTTCCAGCAGAACCATCAATGCTTCCCTGCCTGAACCCCCCCCTATTCGGTGCTTCCCTCCCTGCACCTTCCAACCCTCCCCTGTTCGTCAAGCTATTCCCAGCCTGGAAGCTCCCGATACTGGTATAGTCACGATCGCCCGTGCCATATGTGGAGTTAGCATAGGTGGTGTGAGTGTAGGAGGGTTGAGTCGTAGGACGGTCTTGGCTGTAGGGGTTTGATCTTAAGTGAGAGGCTTGGTTTAGCGCTGCTGCTATGGCTGCTGCTTCTGATGCAGCAGCTGCTGTGCGTGATGCTGCCGCTGCTGCCGCCGCCGCCGCCGCCGCCGCCGCCGCTGCTGCTGCTGCGTCAGCCGCTTCTGCTTCCTCTGCTGATTCTGCTGATGATACTGCTGACACGGCTCGCCCGGCTGCTGCTAGTTCAGGGGTACCAGTAATAGAGTGGATATTCATGCCAGAAGGATACATTCGATCGTGTGGCTGGCTTGCGGAATGGGGGTGCGAGTGTGAGAAATGAGGCGTCTCAAAACTTGAAGAATGGTGCTGGGGAAGATGAAGCGTGTCAAGACTTGCGGAGTGGTGGTGGGGGTTACGGCTTGGGTACCCTTCGAGTTGCGTTGCCGGGTGCATTGGAAGGGTGTGGTTTATGTGGTGGGAGAGGTATGGTGCCGAACCAGTGGCAGCTTGGTCCGGGAAGGAATGTGTGGATAGGCTCGGGAAGCTGAAGGGATGGTCCTGGAGAGATGGCGCCTGGTGAGGGGGAAACATTGGTGATGGAGGGGAGAAAGGAAGGAAGGAAGGAAAGAATGAAGAAAGGACGGAACGAGGAAGGAGGGAGGAATAAAAGGAACGATCAAATCGCAGGACGGTCAGTGACATGGGTTACGCGTTGTGAGTCTGTCTGCTTTTGAATCGGCTCAAGAGTGTGTGACATGGGTTACTTATTGTAAGTTTGTCTGCTTATGAGTCAACGCAGGAAAGCAGAGAATCGACCGAGATCCAGCAAAAGTAAGTGGTGACATGGGTTACTCATCGTGAGACAATCTCGCAATGCTGCATGCATGCAAGCATGTGCATTGCACCCAAATATCAATGCCATGGCGTTAGCATTAACGGAGAGACGCGATGGCGCTGAGGAGAAAGCTTGGGAAAGAGAGCAACAAAAGCCACACGACAATCCACGATGCACCATCCAGAATGTAAACGTAGTACCTGCGTCGACATTCCGTGAGCAGACAGCCCGTCTCCTCGAAACTCCGATTCACTGTGATTCAAAAGAGACTGCATCATTGGCGGGGACTGCTGTAGCGGGGAGTGCGCCTGAGGGGGCGTGTGGCGCGCGGAGGCCTCCATGTGGCGCTGAGTGGCGGAATCCGTGGGCGGGCGCATCATGGTGTGCGCCAGATGCGCGGAGGAGAGCTCATATGACGGTGGGGGAAATGCTGATTGGTGCAGGAAAGAAAGGGGAAAGAGCGGAAAGGGGGACGCAGTTGGCGAAATGAATTTACAGCGAATAGAGCAGGGGAAGGTGGGACGGAGGGGAAGGGGAGGGAAGGAGCCAGAAGGGTATGACTGCAGAATGATATTACAAAGTATTACTCAACATGTAGTCCCGTCCACTAGGCAAAGGAACTAGTAGTAGCACTGTGGCAGGGGCACTGCATGTAGACTTTACTTGAAGGAGCAGCGCAAGTGCAGAACGAGTCATTCTAGAGTGGCTGGAGTGGAAAATAAACTAACCGAGAGAGACTACTGGTACTACAAGCACCATACCCATCCTTCCATAATGCTTCCATGATGGCATGAAGACATATAAACCAGTGGTCCTAAGCAGAGTGGCATAGCAGATTGGTACTAGCAGCAGGGAGAGGAGTCGTCTTCTTCTAACGCATAACATGATTACCGTCACGCAGGTCCCTTGACGCTTCAGGCTGGTTAGTATGAATCAACTAAAAAGTCGTCTTTTTCTTACACATCATAAAGTGATCACGCAGATCCCTTGACGCCGCTCCAGGATGGTTAGTATCCCCGTCACGAACATCAGACGCGACGCCGCCTTGCGCGCCGTGTCGGGAATAGTAATAGTCCGCGGACGAGTCGTGCGAGTCGGAGGCAGAGCCACTGGCAGTGACGCGGCCTCCATCGATCGGCGCGATTCGCGCTGGTGCTCTAGTCCATTGGTCGGTTTCTTGAGCGGCTCGCGCGTCGCCTCCTGTTATCATGCGCGCGTGCGATGCTTGCGACAACCGCTGGCGCGCCTCTTTCCCACCCACGGGCTCCTGTTCTTGCACCACCGCACGGTGCGGCGGCGGTTGCGGGGACACGAGATCGAGATTTTGTCCCACGTGGTGGTAGTGCTGCTGCGGCTGCTGCCGCTGCTGCTGCTGCTGCTGTTGCTGATTCTGCAGCGGCTGATTCGCCGAGAGTTGCAGAGATTGGAGCACCGCGGAACTTTGGGCTTCGGCGAATGGCGGCGCGACGGAGTTTTCAAGGGGGTCGCAGCTGGCGGCGGCATGGAAAGCGGCGCGCGGCTGGAAGCGGAACGTCGCGTCCATGGCGTGATGCCGCGTGCCGCGGCTGCCGCCGCCGCCGCCGCTGTCGCTGCTATAGTACTACTAGTGCTGATCTGCTGCTTCAACTAACGTCGTGATTTCTAGAGGCGAGTGTAGTACCGTGTGCTGGATCGGGTGGAAGTAGCCATGGCACTGCTATTCAGGGTGCGTTTTTAACACTCGTTGAATCGAAATTAAGATGAGCACAGTCGAGTTCACGTGATTGGTGACGCGACGGGAGACGCCGACGTCATGAAACTCACATCATGATGTGCGCCAATGTTGATCGCCAGTGACTCGGTAGGGGTTTGTCGCACGTCACGCGCGAATACTTGCTAGTGAAAGTCTCGGAACGCGGGTGCTTTAGCGAACTAACGTTTCTCGATGCTGCGACCGACAATCATTCGCTACTCCCAAAATATTACGGATTCAATCAAGGGCCGAAGCTGGGAAAACATAGGGATGGACGATTTGCTGATTGGGAAGGACGCCTCAGCCGCCGCGACTGCAGGGAGATTACAGTCGTGTACTAGCGGGATATATTTTTAAGATATCAGAGTTTCCCCTCCGATCTAACCAAATTCTTGGTGAGGGTTTATGACACTAAAACTATACGTAGCAGCCTTCCTCTTTCGCCATTTCTGATCTTCGACGCGCAGCAGGGTTTTGACAAGGGGCACTTGAGGAGGATAAGGCGAGATGATGTTTTCGCGTGAGCTGGCGTTGCAGAACGCGTCTCTTGCTTTTCGAAACAAGGAGCTGGCGGCGGCAGACTGTGCAATGTGCGTCCAAGAGACACAAAGAAGCATACTTGCTGGTGTATGAGAGATTAGACGAGAACAGGCAGTGTTGGAGGGAGCCGGTAATCCATGCTCTGAGTTTGGGCGGCTCAACTGGGGATTCCAGCTGGAACGCCGATATGCATTGGAAACTGTACGAGGTAACTTACTGGGGACGAGAAAATGCGTCTTACGTGTACGAATATGCATTGGAATCAAAGCAGTTGCGAACTTGCGTGCGACCCAATCCCGACAGCACTTGCACACACACCCTCACGGTCTCCTCCAACGCATTGCCCACTGGTTGACCTCTCGGATCTCTGAAGGGTCATTGAGATTGGGTTGGAGCATTGGGGGGGTCATTCCGCAACAAGCCGCCAAAACTACATGGATGACATCACATGGGTCTCTGACTGAACTCAATCCCCGCGTGATGTGCTGCGTTTGTCTGGCGACCATGCCACCATCGGGGCTGACGACGAGGTTACGGGAAGTGAAAGAGTGTGGAAACAGTTTGATCGAAATCTTCCTTCCATACGTGTACCCTATCCCATCACCCTCGATCAAACGTAACACCATTTCAAACACGGGAAATACGGGAAATTATAAAGAAAGTCACAAATTTACCCGTTTTATCACGTTTGGTCACAGGGGTATCACAAACAGTCACAGTACAGTAGATTTCTATCGCGGGTGATCACAGTGCTATCACGGATGGTCACACCTTGCCCCGAAAAGCTATCACGTTTGGTCACTCGATGTAACGAGTATAATTTATTTGAAACCACAAAAGAAACTGTAGAGATTTGGGGGAATCCCAATCTCGATTGCTGGTTACCCTCGCGCATGATTCTAGTCTGACATTTAGGGGACTGAAGAAAAAACTAAACCCCAAAGGATGGCACACCCTTCGGGAGGCATCAACCCTAAACACCTTGCGACAAGGTATTTAGGGTTGATGCCTCCAGAAGGAAATCCCATCCGAACGGGTTTTAGTTTTTTCTTGGGAAGGAAAATAACCTTCAAGTTTCACCCGCCTAAAAGTAATATTCTTAGGGTCATTATGCACAAATCGAACAGTGGACAATCCAACCGTGAACAATGCGCAACGAGCTGACCAATGGTTACCAATGGTATTTCCGATGTTACCAATGGTTTTTGCGAGTTGACGAGAGTGGTCGCGAAAATATTTCGTAACTAGCAGCGTCTCGCAACACTACGGACAAAACAGCGCGCGCGATATAAATTTCCCCTGTCTCCCAACAGTTACTTTAGTAGTTACATTAATTAATTGGGCATTTCATCTGTGACCAAACGTGATAGACTTGTGGGGCAAGCTGTGACTATCCGTGATAGCACTGTGATCACACGTGATAGTTACGAAGTGTACTGTGACTGTTCGTGATACCCCCGTGACCAAACGTGATAAACCGGGCCTAATTGTGACTCACTATATAATTTCCCTTTAAACACTCGCACTTCAAATGCATGCAAATGATTTCGGTTCTGATTCACCAATCCAAACCAGCTTGATTGGTCTCACAAAATCTACCAAATCAAATTTGCTAGGTCCAAGCCGCGGACCAAGTTGAAGGCTTGAAAGTGAAATCCCGTTATCCTGCACCCCGAAGCGATATGGCTGACAAAAGTATCTGTACACCATTACCACTTTTGAGTCAAACTTTGTTTCCAGACAACATGAATGCTTAACGTGAGCGCCAAACATGGGGCACAATGTGCATTTTCAGTTAATTACAGGTCCGCAGTTATGTCGTAACATGGAGTTGCCTTTGAGGTATTCCTCGCCGTTTCTACTTGCATCAGTAATAAACAAGCCAAAATGATAATGGCATAATCTCGATAAAGTAACGTGTTCACAAATATTGTTTACTTGCAAATGCTAACTCACAATCGGATTCGTAACTATACGTTTTTTTTAGTAGTATTGCAAGCTCTATATGCCAGATATAACTATTATCACTACGACCATCCACCACAACTTAAAATTATTGGGCACATTGTGATATAACAGTAAGAGCTGCCAAAAATCAAAGAACACGACGAGTATATAATTTTTGTTTTTATGGCAACCACAGGCAACTTCAATCTTAAACTTGTTGTCTTACATATCGTAAGTTAAAAAAAAGTGTTACCAACAAACGCACATATCACAATGAGCCTCTTATGCAAACCAGCCGCGCACTAAGTATTCGTGGCTTCAAGATGCATCATCCATCGGAGGGAGCTACTCAAAGTTAAGCATGGGTGCACAAGGGCACTTCAATAGGCTCAGCACCAATAACTATGCAAAATCATAGGGAGGGTTACTGTATGTTGTGTAGACATAGCTGGTAGAAACTTATTGTGTATGTCGGGCAACCAGTCGCTGCTCGCCGAAAGGCAGAATGGCGAAAAAAGGTTCACGGGGTTCAAAACTAGAACGCATTCTTGCAAATAAATCTAGTTAGACCATGTATCGAATTGGGTAGCATCATGAAATCATTACAGCATATGGCGTCAGCATCGTTGCGTATATGCAACGTCGATGCTCAGCCACACATTCTAGATCTACCTCACAATCTTCCATGAACCAAATTTTGTTTTTTGCTATTCCAAATGCACCCCATGGTCCTCCCAACACTTCATGAAAATGCTAGTTGCTTGTTGCGAAAACGTGTGTTGAATGTAATGATGATATCGTGGTCCAATAGTTGGATAAAACATATTATTTTGCAAGCAGATAGAGGATCACCACATTGCGGCGACTCACTTATCAACGAGAAAAGCAGGCTATGTTGGAGGTTTTGGGTTGTATGAGGTGATCAGAGTGTTGCTTACATTCTCACTACTTGCTGTGTTCCTCGGTCAATTTGGTAAGAATTTCACTGGGAAAAGAGAACAAATTTTCTAAGGCATGACAAAATCGATATGGCAAGAACACAACGCAACACACATAATAACTTAGCAAAGCGCATTCCAACGATGCACAAAGGTGGCTTGCCAACGCAGGTGGAAGGTGGTGTGCCAACGTTGCGGCAAGGTAGCTTGTCATCGTTGCACCAAGTTGGCCCGACGACACTAGAGTTGCAGGTAAACAAGCGCGCACTTGTGAGCACCTTCCAATTAGGTGCAGGTTTGCACAATAGGCAGTTGTGTGCACGTCGTTCATGTGATGCACATTTCATAGGTTGATGCACATTGCATAGGTTCGACATTATAAAGCGGGTGACGCTCGTCCCAAAGGTCAAGATTCACCAAAACCATATGAGGTGAAGTTCGCGCTCTCGCAGAACTTGGACAATCAGATAGTGGGTTGACCAGGAGAGGCTACTCAGCCGACGTTGCCGACGAATGGTCGGTCGGTGCCGGTAAGTACGCGCCATGTCGACGATCACTTTTGTCGAACGCTGAGGCTGGACGCCACCCACCAACTTTCACTTTGTCAGCTAGCGTGTCGGCATCATTGTGGTCAACTTCGCTGGGTCCAGCCAGTACCAACAACATCCTCCTCCAAGTCACGTCGACCACAAAGCCTAGCTGGCTGAACACCTTGCTCGCCGGACAACGAAGTCGGCTTCGTCCAAGTCGGCATGACAAAAGCAATGCACTAGCCGGTGCAAACCTCTAATATCATTAACACCTCTTTGTTATGTAACCAATGAACGTAAGGCTTCGGGTTGAATTGACGGGACTATTACGAAGACGTTAATGATTTTTAAATATTAGCGTCGGCTTGTACATTAGTAATCATTCTGAGTTAGAAATGAGTGCGATGATAAGTTAGTATGTTGGCAGTCTGGTGCAAAGCAGACTAGCATACGACGACGGTGTGGAGAATAGGCGACTTGTGGGAGAGCCTAGGCACAGAGTTGCACGATCAGAGAGTGAAGTGCGAGGTTTGCAATATGGACTCGCTGGAAACCGGATACTGGTATTTGGAGAACAGTATGCTTGGTATGCAGCAACAGGCTTGGAATCCAGTAACGAAAGGAAAGCAATTGATTTATTGATATGATTATAACAGGATCAACATGAACCTTATAGAGAAGCATAGTGACATGTACGAGAACGTTCTACAAGAACGTTGTTCATGAAAAACGTTGTTCAAGGAGAACGTGTAAGCCCCTACTCTAGTATGCGGTTCCAGATTGGCTCCGCCAGGTGGTGAAAATACCGTCGGGTGCATTTTCTTCCTGCCCATGAGTAACTGCGCAGGTGCTCGCAACAGACAGTTGCACATACTCGTTTGTGCAATGTCGTCACTTCCCTCCAATTCGGTTCAGTGTTGAACAGTGCATACCGAAGGGCACATATTGGAGTGTATTCGGTGAATACCGAAGCTCCGGTATGCGGTATGCGAAACCTCGCTACATCGCATAGGGCTGCTACACGCGAAACCAGGCGCGTGCACGGCTTCACTTTAACAGACGGAGTAGATAATGGAGTTGTTGCTGACCTAAGTCGACACCATTGATCTCCTTAGTTGCCTCATCGCTTTTCCACACAAGGCCAAACCTTATACGGCCTTGGAAATTATGCACCTATTCACCAAAACATAATAAATCATGGATACTTTGATGTATGCGCGAAAATTTTAGCCATATGTTAAATTATTACATCTGTAAAACTTACATTTGTTTCGATGTGTATGCTCTGTAAGAATTTTCTTGTAACTAATACTATATCAATAATATAAATAGCTGATTTCGCCTAATTGTTGTAGATGCTTTTATATGTGTCCACTACCTATTTTGGGCAAAATGCAAATGGTAGATTGCTTGAGGTAGATTGCTCGGCTAGTTTGAACAAGTCATGTTTCGGCTTAGTGTGGAATGGTTGGCTAACGAAGTGGACATTGATTAACATTAACCGAAATTCGCTAAATTTCAGTGCGATACTAAGAAAAACCGCGGGATAGCATAGCCATTAATAACTAATACACAGTAAGATTCTAGGGTGTCGACTTCTGATGTTACGGCATAGTGATGCATATACTCCCTCCAGTCACCAAAACTTGCCTATAAACGGACCCTCTACCCCTCCCACACACTCCCCCCTTTTATTTTCCTAAATTCGTAGTTTATCTCATTTTTCCTTGTACGCACATTCTGGTTGGTTGACCAAATTAACGTAATAATACACCATTTAGAAACCTAGGTGAAGCCCCAGATTTGTCGTGTCCCTGTAACTCATACCAAGAACTCAACCTTACACAATATCTGTAAAGCTACAATCAACATCTTATTTTCCGCTTGTGCAATATTTGCTGCTCACAACGCGTAAAACATTCAAAGTTTCTCGTACGGTAAAGTATTTTAGCATGTGGACGGCTTGATTGAGAGCATCTGTTGTGTGTGTTCGATGTTTTTGTCTTGAATTTCTGCAGGCCACATCTGGTGAAGGTCGCAGACGATTGTAAGCTGGGTGCGTTGGCAAAGATGAGATGCAAATGGGACGCTTCTTCTGATCGCCAAATTCTGAGAAAGAATCAGGTTGGTCATTCTGTGTAAGGAACACCTCCTCTGCATGCCAGCTGTTTGGCACGCGAGCTGCTCCTCCCCAACCTTCTGTTGTACGTGTACAGTATCATTCGTTCGTTGTGTCATCTAGGAGCGACGGACCCCTCGGTGTAGGAGAACAGAACTGAACAGTGTGTGCAGGATTTATCGTTGGCTCTGTCCCCCGCTGTTGAGCCACACAGGTCCTACCCAAATGGTCAAGGACTCTGTGCTCCATCCCACAAGCAGGTTCGACCAAGGCTCAGTGGTACAGGACTGTACCACAACATCAAGATCCAAGATTCCTTGACATTACACTAGGTTTTGTTTTTGTAAACGCAATGTCATGCCAGAACTGTACAGTAGTAGATTTATAAAGCACCAACTATTGGCCGACCGACACAACGGATACAGTAAACCCTAGTATTGCCCTTCCAGGCCAGTAACCATCCATCCATGGATGGGACTGTCTAGTAGGAGAGCCTGACAGACAGGTACTGATCTCCTTCGACTGGAATCAGGCGACATTCCACATTGGCGGCTGATTGCTCTGCGTTAGCCTCCTCTTGATCGATTGTGTCATGGATGGGCCAATCGGCGTGCGCCTTTTTTCCCGCGTTTCGCCGCTTTCGTCTGTGCCAGTTCCTTTTAAGTACGTCTGTACGATTGCCGCGCCATGCGCTATGCTTACAACCGTGCGCAGCTTCCCCTTGACCTCGCCGCACCAACAGCCGCAACCTCCCATCACACTTCTCCCCTCGCACGCACGGATTTTTCGCGAAGGCAATCCAAGGCTCTTTCGTTGCTCTTCCACGCACCCACGCATTCGCGTACCTGACACCTCTTCCGTAATTCCCGGCGGCAGCGACGCAAGTAACCAGCACACTTCCACCAGCCTCTCAGACGGCGATTGGCGCACGCCACACGCCACGCGGAGGATCTCCCAGACTCCTTACGAGACGGCAAGCGAGCCCCGCACGTCGCGGCGATCGCTCTTGCACCTACCTCTGGCTCTACTCCTTCCGCCCCTCTCCACCCTCCTCCCATCGCCTTTCCCGCTAATTACGGACGCCGAAGCCGTGGAGACAGCAGCAGCAAATAGCAGCAGCAGCGGCGGCAACACCAGCAGCAGCAGAGGCGGCACATTCACGGAGGTGGAAGGGGGAGTGCAAGTGGCGGATATACGGCAGGGCACAGGGGCCATGCCGGTGGACGGACAGACGGTGGCAGTGCATTACTATGCGCGGCTGGGGGCGAAGCAGGGCTGGCGGTTCGACAATACGTTCGAGCACCGCGATGCGAGTGGGGAGCCGATTCCGTATGAGTTCGTTGTTGGGGATCCCAAGGTGCGAGTGCTTTCGGATTTTTTCGTTGCCTGTGGCGCGTTGCTTGTTGCCTGCAGCGTGTTATGTGTTTGTTGTTGGTTGGTGGTTGGAAATGCGTGGAAAGGAGAAATATGCTATGCCGCTGAGAAGGAATAATGGGTTTGACATCCCAGCCGCAGCGTTCTCAGCCATACCAATTTGAATTTCCAGTTTATCCGTGTCACATTTTCCAACTCAAAACCTCTCCTCCCCCTTCGACCCTTCTTTCTTTCTTCTTCCACGATCCATCCCAACACCAGCCAATCCCTTCCGTGCACCTGCCCTTTCATCCAGTCGACCAACCCGCCAGATGCCCTGCCTGTCATTCCATTACATTGTCACGCAACTGCTACCTTATGCTCTTTGTGTCCCTCATGTATGCATGTCTTTGCAGCGAACTGACACAATCACACTAAAACACCAACATCCCATCACCCGTTGTCATCCCAATATGCATCACTTCTTCCCGCTGCAGGTCATTCAAGGGCTGAGCATCGCAGTGCGGGGCATGAGGGTGGGTGGAGTGCGCAGAGCCATCATCCCTCCCAACGTGTCATATCAAACCATAGAGGATCTGCCTCTTCCTCCCAGAGTATGCTTGCCCTGGGTTGTGTTGGTCCATGTGGAGTGGGGTTGTGTACACTGCTGTTCGTCTCTTGTCTTCACCATTTCATTCACCCATTCCTTTTTTGTGTTCTTTTACCGTTGACATGTTTTTTTCTCCTGAATTTCACTCCTCTTACAGCCATATTTGATCTAAGCACCCGCTTTTCTGTGGGAACTCCATTCACCATGGGCGTATTCCTCCTTCCCTTTTGACCCTGTGGGATCCTCTCAGTATTCTGACAGGCAACGCCTGTTTACCACTGTTTTCAACCCTACACGGCTTGCGAATGGGGAAGGGTCTTCACTTGGCACAGTTATCTTTGATATCCAGCTGCTTGGAATCAGAAGCCCTGTGTAGCTGTCGTACTCTGTTCTGTGGTGATAACAGTTCACGCTGGTTATGTTATGTGTATTTAATTCAATCTGTACCGTCAGGGCCACATTTGGCTGGTTGTATGTGTTACTTCCTGGGAGAGAGGAGCATGAAGTATAAAGCTTGGTCCATGCATTCAGTCCGAGTCCTTTCCTTTATAGGGGACTCCGGACAAATACATTGGAACGTGTTATAAAAAAACGGGCATGTGGCATATTGCTTATCAAAAGGAACCAGAACATATTGGAATTTGCTACTAGGGAAAGCGAGCTTTCAAGCAGACTTGACAGCTGCGGCCTTGGAGGTGACAGAGTTGCAGATGGCAGCAAAATCAGGTCCCTGCACTCACACACAAACCATGGGCGTTAAACTAGCAGTATTAGCGAAAATGACCACAAAAACAAAAATGCAACTAAAACCATGTGCCTCAATTAGAAACGAGTGGTAAGGACATGCAGCAAGGTAGCAATGTAATTGGCCACGAACCTTTAGTGAGGCACCACCAACAAGGAAACCATCAATATCCTCTTCCTTGGCAAGCTCAGCAGAGTTGGCAGCAGTCACGGATCCTGAAGGGCAGAATGGCGAGAATATTAGGGCGACACGTTTGGTGGTGTGTGGAGGACGGGAATGAAACACTACTGGCATGCACTAAGAATGCCGAACGACACCTGCAGATGGAAGCAGGTGTCGAGATAGAGGTTCCGAGTGGCAAGCAAGTATCACTCAAGAACGGGAGCAACGAGGGAGGGATTGTGTCAAACATCACTCAAGAGCCATGGTGAAATTACATTTCAAGCGAAATGTATGAACAAAAGGCATGAATATGCACGCAAATTCTCTCTAATAACTATCCTCCACCCCAATCCCCCACAATGATTCACAAACCGCACCTTCCGTCCTCCGCACAAGCACACTCACACAATGGATGATATTTCAGCAAAATTTCCAATATGAACGCTTTTGTCAATGCACAAGGAGAGAAGACCAGCAAACCGGGAGAAGGGCGGCGCTGACGCACCTCCGTAGATGATGCGCGTCTTGGAGGCGACGTCGGAAGACACGTTGGTCTGCAGCCACGTGCGGATGGCCGCGTGCACCTCCTGCGCCTGCTGCGGCGACGCCACCTTGCCCGTACCGATGGCCCACACCGGCTCGTACGCGATCACCACGTCGTCCCACGACGACACGTGGTCTGCTCGCGAAAGCAACGCGTGGACAGAGGGAGGTTGCGAGGTGCGTCATTGCAAGGCATGGTAGTTCTTTCTATAATGCAGCGGTTGAGATATTGGGTTCACACAACGTGCATTAGCGATGACTACAGAACAGAGGCCAGGAGGGGAAACTCCATAGGCCAGATCCGCTCTCCATTATCGCCTTCAGATTAGAAAGAACTGAAGCCGAGGAACCACTGAAAGACTGGGCAAAGAATGCGCTCACACCATGCAGCCGCTTCAGTTCGCTTCAAAGATTCAGTTAGCAGGTAAATATGATACAAGACGCTGGGTGTATTCACCTGCGGTGGCCTTGAGCTGCTCGAAGACGACGTCGAAGGTGTGGCCCGACTCCCTCTCCTCCAGCAGCTCGCCCACGCACGCGATCACCTTGAGGCCCTTGGACAGCGCGTACTCCTGCTTCTGCCCGATGAACTGCGCGCAGAGGGGGGAGAAGGGAAGGGAAGGGACGGGACGGGACGGCGAGAGAAGGCCGTGCGGAGGGACATGCGACGATGAGTGCAAGCGCACAGGGTGTAAGGGTAAAGGTGTTGTCGCGAGACAGGGAGCGACCGCGGGACGGGTACTAGGAGAGGTTGAGATGGAAGGGGGAACGGGTGGAAGAGACCGGGCGGGAGCCGGCGAGCTCAGGACGGAGAAAAAGGATGGAGAAAAGAAGATACGCGGGAGGTGGTGGTAGTAATGGTAGATACAGGCGGGCGGCGTACCTCATTGGACTCCTTGAGAATGTGGCGACGCTCGGAGTGGCCGAGAATGACCCACTTGGCACCCAGATCCACCAGCATCTCCGCACTGCGCGTCACGCAAGCAAGCAAGCAACCAACCAACCAACCAAGGAAGTCAGGGAACGCATACGACGACGAGATGCTACCGAGACGCTACTGACGGCAGAGGGCGACGAGAAAGTGAGTGAGCGACGGCGGGGAACGGGTAGGTTGGGAGGAGGGCGGAGGACGGGAAGGTGGGGAATGATTAAAGGTGTAAGAATGTGGTTGCGAGAATCGTGTCGATGGACGCACCTGATCTCCCCGGTGAAGGCGCCGCCCTTGCCGACCCAGCAGTTCTGACCAGCCACCTCGATCCTCTTGCTGACGGAGCCGATGACTTGAGGAAGGTAGACGAAGGGAGGTGACACGATCACGTCTGTCGTGTGGGAAGATACAGGTGAAGACAGATCGTAGAATGCAGGAGAGGAATATGACACATGTTGGATTTTATTAGTGGGTCGTGGAGAGAACGCGGTGGGAGAACCGTCACACAGGAGGTAAGTAGAATGGATCTGAACCCTGAACGGATCTGAAAGGCCTAGGGGTCTCGAGGGCAAAGAAGCCGTTCTGGTGGAAGCAAAGCTAGTACTGAAGGATGGGGAAGTGGATGAACGTACCGACGTTGGCTTCAAGCGACTCGGCGTTGAGGTCGCTGACCAGCTTGGCGATAGACTCGGTGGTGCCGTTCTGCACGCGGAGAGAGGGAGGAAGAACGCGGACGGGTTGAACCGGGTGAGTGGATATTGTTAGTTGATAATGAACAGTGGAATGTGTCCGTTTCCAGATCACAGACGTTACGCGCGGGCGAGAAACTGGCAAGAATGCGAGGGTTTAGCGAAACGAGTGGGTTCAGCGAGACTATTGAGGGAATGAGAAACTCACGCATTTCCAGTTGCCACCGACGAAGAACTGTTACAGGGAAATGACAATGCAGCGTACAGAAGAAGAAAGAATAACATGTTATTTCTTAACGAGCTCCAGCCATGCCAACAAAAAAACATGACATTCTTCTATACAAGGTGAATCCGTTTTGGACTCCAAAATCACTCTAAAAAAGGTTCCTTGAGACTGCGAGATATGAACTGCGGAACTTGAATTTGTACGACGAGAATGCTCCTTAACAGAAGACTGCCTACATCTATACGAGGTAAGGTCCTAGCAGGCAGCTACTCCGGAGAAGGAACAAACCTTGCCAGTCCCGGCCATGGCTGTGACGCGGCTGGAGCCGAAGGATTTCCGCAACGAGTCGAAGGCATTGCCAGGGCACGACGCTGGTCTCAAACCGCCAGACACGGCGAGAGAGTCGAGCTTCGCGGCTGTCTGCGAAAACAGGCCGCTGGAAAAGGCAGCAGCCTTTGCGAGGGTGCAGGAGGCGGCAGCCATTGTGAAGCGGAAGATATTGTGAGAAGGTATTGCAACGAAGCTCGGCTCTCTGACCTGTGGATTGAGGATCAGAAAAGCAACTGGAAAATGGTGACTTCAGAAGTGTGAGTGGGTTGTGTGAATGGTGGTGAGTCGCACTGTAAGAGAAGTGAATCTTTTGCGGGCAAGGCGTGCTCGCTGAATGCAGCTGCAGCGGGGGCGGCAGCAGCAGGAGAAACAGCATGGTCGGAGGGGAAGGGAGGGGAGCCAGGGTCAGGGAGAGCACAACAGCCCCGCGATTGCGGGGGGCAGCAAAGGGGACTGGGGAAGAATGGGGGAGAATAGTTGGGGGAAGGAGAGCAGGGCTCGTGCGTGGAGATTTTCTCGTCCAGCGAACGGGCTTGCGGAGGGCAGGTTTTTGGGGCTAACCAGAAGGGAGGAGTTGCGGAACGGCTGGCGGAAAGTCTTGTGCAAACGTAGGGGGGGATTCGGCGCGCATCCAATCCTGGAGGCGATATTTGTGAAAGGAACTGTTTTGTGTGCGGGGATCTGGGGAAACGCGGCAGGGGCTGCTCCAATTGGAAGAATCGCAAAGCGGATTTGTGATGTGGGGGGAAAGTGGCTGACCAGGAGGGCGCAAATATTGAGCTCCAGTGAGCGCTGGAGGAAGATGGCGGCCCTGGGCATTATCCGCCACATGTCATTCGCAATCCTATTGGCTGAGGCTTGCCCAGTCGAGCTTGGCTGGCTTGCCAAATGGCAGATCTTACACCTCGTGAATGACGTGGTAACGAAAAAGGACAAACACCACACACGGGCTTTTGATTTGTTGGACTGGCACACTATCAGCCAGGAAGTGAAAATGCTGCCATCAGCCGTCCAACAAGTACAATAACAAAGAGTTGAACACTCAATTCTTTAAGGAAACTAAGACTAGCATAAAGGAAAAAGACACTTAGCTTGAAAACAAGGCTTACAGCCATTGATAGCTGAGAGCTGGTTTTTTTTTTTTCTGAACTATGAGAAATATAAAAAATGAAGATCACAATAGTAAGAGCGTCACAATGAATGTGTTACAGTAACCATGAATTTGTTTGTCATTGATAAGCACAAATTAAGAAGGGGAAAGTAACGGAGTATGCAATAACGAGTATTCCCCTTCAGTTTTTTTTTTTTTTTTTTTTTGTAGGTGAAAATGCATTATACAACGCAAAACACCGTCGGTCGTAACCGGAGCTAGAGGGCTATAGGTAGAGTTTCTACCGTACCCTCGCAGATTCCTATGGAGGCCTAAAAGTCAAATGCCTGGAAACATTTTCTTGCCCGTAAGGAGCTTCCCTTGCACACTTGCCACACTTCAGATCTGGTAACCTCTGGACACTTTTTTGCCGCGTGGTTTTCTTCAGCTTTGGTTGAGTCGCCACTGAGTGGTTGAGTGGGGTGGTTTCAGCAACCCGTGTTTTGACGTTGAAGCGGTAGAAAGTGGTAATAGCAGGTCTGCTCCGGCGAGCTAGCCACAGGAAAGTTGCTCTAAATCTTCTGGGCGCTTTCCGACGCCTGTGAGTTGCCCCCCTCTCTAGAGAGCACAGCAACTTCGGGAAAATCATGCATCAATCCCTGG